TCTCTGTCAGAGAGGGAGGCCATGACTAATGGGCTCTGAAATCTCATGCATTCACGTGCAGATCAGCTGATCGCTGCAAGGAAGGTTTCTTCCCTTCTAAGACTCCCCAGTCACCTTTACTGACAGAACTGCAGGGATGAAAAAGTTGTGCAGCTGTGCAGTTTTACCTCCTCATCCATCAGTGTCTCTCTGCGAACGTGGCAACATGAATGTCTGTCAGACTGAGTCGCTTTAAGTTCCAACGCAAATAAACACCAGACACATGAAAAACGACTCAAGTCTTTATGATAAATAGGCAAATTAAACTCAGCACAATTATATATTACACACCAACGTTTGTGAAGAAAGCATTATTTACACTTTCGCCCCATTCCTTAAAGGAATGCATGTTGACCGCCACCTTTTAAGCCAGGCTCATCTTCTGTTCAAACCTTTAGAGTCATGCACAATCTCATGCAATCTCAGAAATAGGTTCATGGTATGTATTGTCAATGATTCTCAGCTACTACCACATACATTTTTAGCTTGCCACATTTTTCGGACTATAAGGCACACCGGATTAAAAGGCGCAATCTCAATGAACGGGTCTGTTTCATACATAAGGCGTACCAGATTATAAGGGGCTTTAAGTGAAACAAAACAGTCAGATAAGTCAAACTTTATTCAACTTGTTCACAGTAACTCTCAATATTGTTCAGATTTAACACATAAAATTGGTTTGAGGTCAGTAAGCACAACCAGAATTAATACATGAGGCGCACTGTATTATAAGACTCACTGTCGATTTTTGAGAAAATTAAAGGATTTTAAGTGTGCCTTATAATATGAAAAATACGGTAATATTTGTAAAACTGATTGGCTATTTTTGTGTTGGCTATTATGGACTAGCTCTGGTGAAAATTGAAATGGGTTGACTCCAAAAGTGAATCAGTTGCAGATGCCCTGCACCCACTGCCACACACACACACACACGCACACACGCACACGCACGCACGCACACACACACACACACAAGATGTAAAATCTGTTCATCCACCATCACCTTTTGGCCATAATAAATTAGATTTGCTGCCTGCGACTGCAGATAAATATTAGTCTGTACATCTAACTCTGTCGTTTTTCCATGATAGACTGAAGTACTCATCTTGCTTAATGTGCACTGTCCCCTTGTAGAAAAAAAAAAAAAAGAAAAAGTTTAATACATTTTAGAAACTGGCTATTTAAGGGCTAGTTCAGATCTTTCAAAGTGGCGTTCTGCAGAAAGTTTATAACAAGTGTAATGGCTGCACACTCTGGCCACAAGTCACAAATGGAGCCAGCCACATCCTGCACAAGTGTGAGTTTTCCAAAGTGAAGCCAGCATCGTTGAACTAAAAGAGGCGTGGAGCAGAATTCAGCTACATTGTCGTGGAGCGTGACACCAGACATCTCTCATGTCTTTAACAAAACATAATGAATTCACTCGTTCTGTTGTTAACTATTTTCTAAAATAAGTCGGTTCTTTACATTACTGAGCCATTGCTCACAACTTTTTTTTTCCACACATTGATCATTTCATCTTTTCATTCAACTTTTATTTATACAGGTGAACCCCATTGAGCCTCGGGGACTCGTTTACAAGAGAGACCTGAATGTTAACAAAGAGTGATAACAACAGTAAACAACAACGACAACAATAGACAATTATAAAAGAAGCAAACAATTTTTTTTAACAAATTAAAGTATAATTGCAACCAAAAGGACAGTCAAAAGGAAAAAGTAGGGAAAAAACAAACAAAACAAAACAAAAAAAACAGCTAGATTATAAAGCGGTGTAAAATACTAAAAACAAGAACATGTCTGCATTGGTTTTTGCCAGGAACTTAACAGATGTTTAAAGCCACTTAGAGAGGTCAAGGTTGAGAACTTCACCTCTGTACCTCTGTTAATACCTCGCTCCGGGGCAGACATGTACCAGCGGTGGGTTGGTTTTAACCCCATCACAGCCTCCCTCCATTCAGAAGTCACACCAAGGTGGGCAGAAACGATGAGCTGTCTTGGGAAAGAGCATTAAATATCTTACCTGTTGCAGATGGCTGCTTGAACGATCTCAGTTTGGTGAAACAGAGTTTAAGAATGACCATCTGGCTAGTCATGAGGCAGGTCCAAAGTAAATTGCTTCTGCTTTTAAAAAGACTTCAGTCTCAAATAATTCACAGCATTTTGTGTGACTAATCCTTTTTAAACATTTGCATGTATTACAGTTATTTACATAGAACTCTATAATCATTTTCAAGCACAAGCAGCAGCAGTTAGCTGTAGCTCTTCCAGTCGACATATTATAATAAAACATAGAATTTTATGTAAATATGTACAGGAGTCCCTGTTTATTGCGGGCGTTATGTTCCGGACCCCACCACAATAGGTGAAAATATGCGAAGTAGGGACGTTATATTTATTTTAATATTTATATTTTAAGGCTTTATAAACCCTTCCCACACACTTGCAATGTTCTAAACTCTTAAACCTTCGTCATTTTAACAAGATACATACGTGTAGCTATACTTTACTCACCAGCTCTGCAGAACAGCAGCGGCTTGGTTCCACTTGGTTCTGGTCCGACTTGGTTTCGTTTCGGCGGACCTACCCTGTCGGTTCTGGTCGGCTCTCTGGCTCGGGGTAGTGGTGGTGGGCTCTGGAGGGAGCTCCAGACCTACGGGCGGCACGCCCTGCTCAGGGCTCCTTGTGAGCTGGCTAGCAGCTCTCTGATTCACCAATGAGTCTGGTCCGGTTCTGGTCTGGTTCTGATCCAGTTCTGTGTAGCTCTTGAGTGCCGAAGCACATTTTAGGGGGGCCTGGACCTTTGGGTGGCCAGAGCGGGAATGGACGGTGGTCCTATTTAGTCCAAGTCCGGATGAAAAAATCCCAGTGGGCTCTGGAGAGAGCGCCAGACATACGATGATTCGAAACCACTTGGTGGTCCTCATGGACTCAATAGCAGATCTCAGATTCACCGATGGCTCTGGAGGTCCAGGTCTGCTCCAGTTTTGGTCCGGTTCCCGGTGGGTTCTGTGCAGCTCTTTGCATCCGCTGGGCACCGAAGTCACTGTATGAATATGGACTGAACTTTTTCCATTCAGATCAAAACTTTCCCTCAAGTATTTCAGCAGTGTGCAATGGGGCTTCAGGGAAATGTAGTCCTTATGAGCGGGGATACAGTATGGCTTATTGAGAGAAAACTACAAAATGGTGGTGCCTGTCCAGAGTATTTTATTTTTTCGTTAACTTTTTACGGTACAGTCTCTGGTACTGTCCCACTGACGTGAGTAACATTACATTTGACAATCATGTGTTGTGTACAATTTTTTTTCTCGTGCACAATCTAACTTTGAAAAACTGCAAAAGAGCAAGTCTGTGAAGGTTGAACCGTGAAGAGTTAGGGACTACTGTAACATGAAACTGATGGCAATGAAAGTTTATTAAATGGCATTCATGTGAACCATGATAAAATGTTGAAGAACGGAGATGTTTAAAGACGGAGATACTCTGTGATCTCTCAGACTAGCCATTAGCTCATCGGTGTAGACCTAATTAAACTTCTTTAAACTGCAGTTAAAATAAGTTTAATTAGGTTCACACTGATGAGCTAATGGCTAGTCTGAGAGGGGCAAATATCACAGAGGATCTCTGTCTTTAAACAACTCCAATCTTCAACATTTTATCATGGTTCACATGAATGCCATCTACAGCAGGTGAGATATTAACTGCACAACATTTCCACAAATCCTATATATCCCTTTAACAGGTCTCACCATGTAAAATCATTTTTGCATCATTTTAAAGTTGACTTTAGAAATGCAGAGACTGCATTTTTACTTTTAAACTTCATATTTTCAGGAAAGCAAATGAAACTCGGAGGTGGAAAACTGTTATTATTAAAATAAAATAATTTTAAAATGGCACTACCCTGTCTATCTGTGGTCAATAACTCTCAAGAAATTATAAATTACGCATTAACAAAGTAGCTATTTCTATTTTTATTATAAAGGTCTCACTTGCAAATGAGCTTTTTGGGCTTATTGTGACTTATTTGTTTAAATAAAAGTTGAATGAAAAGTGAGGAATAGAAAATAGTTGAATAAAGCAAAAACTAAGAGGGCGCATGTAATTATCAATGTAAGTGACAACAAGGCACATTTTAATTTACAATATGTTTTTGTTTGTGTGCTGAACACACTGCTGAGCAAAAAAAAATATTGAGGGGGCGTGGGGGGGCACAAAGTGTGAAAGTATCAAAAGTATGAAATCCGCCAACAAGATGGGGAGTCACCTGAAGGAACAGATATCTGAAATCCAACTGTCTCTGAGTTTAAAGATGGCTGGTCTTTGCAGTGATGTCAGCCCCCCTCCTGTGAGACCCCCCCC